ACATCAGGGAACTCTTGCTCCCCAGACTGATAGCTGGGATACCAGCATTGGACTGATCCAGACCCCAGGAACATGGATCATTGAGGAAACCTTGGAAACCTACAGGACCTCCTGTAGTAGTTCAGTACTTATTCCTAGCTAGCATAGGTGTGGACTTTGGGAGCCCATTCCACATAGAGGGATACTCCCTGAGCCAAGACACATGGGGGTGGGCCTAGGCCCTATCCCAAAGAATACAATAGACTCTGATGACACCCTATGGAAGGTCTCACCATCCAGGAGGTGCAGAAAGGATATGTGATAGGTAAGGTTTTAGTTTGGGGGCGTGGTAGGGGAGGACGGGAGGGAGAATGGAACTGGTATTTTCATGTAAAACAATATTGTTTTTAATTCAAATAAAAAATCTGCAAAAAATAAAATAAAAATATCCTTGGTGAATAGTAGAAAAAAAAAGTATGAAACTAAATGAGATGATAGGGCTCCACTGCCTGTGGAGCTCTAGGGTTGAATTTATTGCCCTCTTTTCCAACTTCTAGAGGCTTTTACATTACTTGGCCCATGACTGGATCATTCTAGACTTTACTTCTACTGTCATGTTTCTCTGTCCCTTCTATGTCTAAGTACTCACATGCAGAATACAAAATAATCTCCCTGACAGCAAGATCTTTAAAAAGCTGGAAGGTCCTTTTTACCATGCAAAGAACACATGGTATTTATAAGTTCTGAGTTCTGGAGATTGGGATATTATTTTGTCTCCCAGGGTTCCCATTGATTTTGTGAACCCCTGGACTTTGAGATCATGGACATTTCTCCTTCCAGGGCTTCTTCACTACTGCTTTTACACATATGCTGACAATTCTTATATATATTTAATCCATTTCTCTGTAAATTCTCTGTTTTTGGTTTATGAAACTCTGATTCCTTGTTATTAAGTACATAAGTTTTAGGATTGTTATGTCTTCTTCATTGACATATTAAGAACATCATCATTCCTATTTATATGCTTTGCTCTTAATTCTGCCTTTTATTAATGTAGCAATTGCAACTTGGTGTTATTGGTGTTAATGTGGTGTATATTTTAATTGAATTTTTTTCATATAATATATTTTGATCATGTTTTTTTCCCTTCCCCATTCCTCCAAGATCCTCCATATGGTGTATCTTTCAATATTGTGTTTCTTAACCTGTTTGTATGTGTGTAAAGTAGTTGCTATATTCAGTATATTTGGGTTTTAAGCTTATCTGGCAACCTCCACCTTTTAATTTAAATGGGAAGTTTAAACCACTTACATGATTTACTTATTTTTGAGATAGTTCTGTCTTGTTACGTTGCCCAGGTTGGCCTTTGAACTCTAGAGTACAAATGAAATGCCTGTCTCAACCTCCTAAGTAGCTGGGACTATGGGTGTGTCTTAGTTTGAGTTATTATTGTTATAAAACATTGTGTCCAAAAGCAACTTGAGGAGGAAAGGGTTTATTTGGCTTACATATCTGAATCAAAGACCACTGGGGAAGTAAAACCATGTGGAAACCCGGAAGCTGGAACTGATAACAGGCCATGGAGGAGTGTAACTTAGGTTTGTTCCTCATGACTTCCTCATTTTGCTTTCTTATAGAACCCAGGACTACCACCTCAGGGGTATTCCTTCCCACAATGGACTGGGCCTCTCCATATCAATCACTAATTAAGAAAATTCCCTGCAAGCTTGTCTGTCTACCACTTAGTATCATGGAGGCATTTTCTCAGTTGGGCTTCCCTCCTCTCAGATGGCTTTTGTGGCAAGTTGACCCAAAAGTTGCCAATGTAAGATGTATGCCACTGTGTAGTAGGACTTTCTTTGTAGCACTAGCTCCTGAATAATGACATGGAGACTTTTTATTAATTATGAAAGTTTGGTCTTAGCTTAGGCTTGTTCTCAACTAGCTCTTAAAACTTAAATTAACCTGTTTACTTTAAGCTATGTTCTGCCACCTCTACTCAGTACCTTACATCCAATTTGCTCTCTTTAGCAAATCTCCACCTCTCTGATTCCTTCCCCCCTAGTTCCCATTTCTCCCTAGAAAGTCTCACCTATCCTCTCTTGCCTAGCTGTTGGCCATTCAGCTCTTTATTAAACCAATCAGAAGGTGCCTTAGGCAAGTGAGGTAAAACAGGAATATCTCTCATATTGTGGTCAAATATTCCGCACCACTGCATTCAGTTTTAGGCTACTTGCATTTATTGTAATTGATGTACAAAGTTTAGGTAGGACTCCTCTGGTTATCTCTAGGACACAGGAAAAACAAAATCTTTTTGTGGTAATCAAGGAAAAAAAATAAGGCTTATGGCTCAGAGGGTAAGAATGCCTGCAACTATGCATGACAGCTTGAGTTTGATCCCTAGAACCTATGTGTAAGGAAAAAAACAATCAACCAACCAAAACCCCAATTCTCAAGAGTCTCTACATGCATTTTGTGGCATGGGTATTTCCACACACATACATAGCTCCTCCCCAATAAATGCAAAAAAAAAAAAACCAAACCAAAAACAAAAAAAAAAAGGCTTAAACCAATGAAATTGTCCTGGACAGAGAATATGAAAGGAGCTATATAATGAAAAGAAACGGTGTTTGGACAGATTTCTAGGTACGTGGTTGAATTTCAAGACATGAAAGATTACACATATACTTAAGTATAGAGAGGAGAACATTTTAAAGACATTACAGGATCAAAGACAGTAAAAAAAAAAAAGAAAGATAAGAGACCAGTTGAATAGTAATGCCAGGGGTAGAGAACACATAACATCTGTGGATAGTTTTATGGATTGTCTATTATACCACTTCACCTTCAGACAATTCTGAAGGAACATCTGGGTTGAAGCCTCCAAGAGTAACCCTGGGTTTGATGACTCGATAGAAACATTCACAGGACTCAGCATATAGTTGCCCTTGTGGCTATTACAGGAAAAGAAACAAACCCAAAACCAGCAAGGAGAAAATGCACATGACATGAACTTGAGAGGAAATTAGAAACTTGCAAGATTCCTTACTTGGTGTAGTCATGCATTGTCACTGTAAGTCTTTCTGCCGAAGCCACCTGAGCCATGCCGCCACATGGGCACTTTCCGCTAGGCTGCCTGAGCTCTGCCCGCTGCCATGTTAAGGTCCCAAGTAACATACAGAGACTTATATTAGGTACAAATGCTGCTTGGCCAATGACTAGGATTTCTCATCTGCTAGCTCAGTCTTAATTATCAACCATAATCATAAGATTTATCTTATGGAGGATGCAGGCAGAATGCGTCTGTCTTCCTGGCAGTCACATGGCTACAGCAGAGCAGAGAGCAGGAGGAAGAGCAAGAGAAAAGGAACAACTTCCTTCTTGCTCTTGCTTAAATTCTGAGTCTCCCTGCTATGTCACTCCCTGCGTGGATCACAACACTTCTTTACTACATTTCCCAGAATCCTCCTTGACTCCTAGTCTTGCCTAAGTTGCTTCTTCATTGTCCAACAGTACTTTATTCAACAACCAATAAGATAAATGCCTAAGTTGCTTCTTAATTGTCCAACAGTACTTTATTCAACAACCAATAAGATAAACATACAGAAGGACATTCACCATCAATGCATGACCCAAGATTCCGGTGGAATGAAACTATGACAATAATGTAGGAAATACTGCATTGCAGGGAAGTGGATTCAAGTATCCAAGGTTCTATGGAAGACTGGACCACATTGCAGATTCCCGGAAGAAAGGGAGGTATTCAGTGTAAATCACTTTGGCTCTCATCATGCCTCCATTTAATCCATCATTCTGGCCCTAGGAAAATTTTGATCTGTTCTGCAAGATAAGGGCAGATTAAGGCAAACTGAATCAGGCAGTAGCCCTGTGAGGAGCTGGATGGAGTATTGACTACTTTATCTTTGCTAGAGGTAGTAACACAGCTATGTTCTATGCAACAATTTGTTTGGTGCATTTTCCATTCCCACTAAGGATCAGAAATAATATACAGTCTTGCCCTTAGGCTATTGATACTATTGCTTTTGTTATAATGAAGAGATCTACACTACAGACAATCTAAACAAAATCATATAATTGAAAATATGGATGAGGTTAATCCAATGAGACAAATACAAACTTCACATGTTAGTGCATGTCTGTGAACTTAGTACTCAGAGGCTGAGGCAGGAGGGTCACAAGTTCTAGACCAAAATGGGCTACACAGTGAGCCATGCCTCTGAAAGGTTTTTTTTTTTTTCTTCGAGATAGGGTTTCTCTGTGGTTTCGAGAGCTGGGACTAAAGGTGTGTGCCACCACCGCCTGGCTCTGAAAGGTCTTTAAAAGAAAGGTGGAGATATGGTTCAGTGGATAAGAGCACATACTGCTGTTGTAGAGGATCTGGGTTTGGGTCCCAGCACCTACATCAGACAGCTCACAACTGCCTGTAACTCCACAGTTTTGGGGATCCTACATCCTCTTCTGGATTCTACAGACATGTGCATTCATGTGCATACCCTTTCTCAGAAACACATAATTAAAAATAAATCTTTTGTAAGTGTTCTCTTCAAGGCATCCATGAAATATGTGTTGTAAAGAGTGGGGCAAAAAATCTGTAACACTCAGGAGACAAAGTGATTTGGGGCATGCCAGGACATCTCCATGAAGTAAAAGATAAACCATTCTATCTTGCATGCTTTGCTTTGAGTTAGGAATGCCCGGTAGTCTTCTGTGTTTAAAGGCATCGTATTTCACACCCAGCAATACTGCTCGCTCTTCCCCACTTACCAGGGGAACATGAAGAGATTACTGAAAGCAGACCAGTTCATACTATGGGCTGATGGAAGACACAAATGTAAGCAAGGCCTCTGTTCACATATGTGTTTATTTCCCTGGCCATTTTATTGAATCAAGGTATAAAAAAAACACATTACTAGACAAATTTTATTTTGTTTTTTTTAAGTTTTTTTCTTTTCTTAGTGTAAAATTTTTTATTTTTCAAATAAATAGCTTTCATTCCTCAATTATTTGTCAGAATTTTAATTTTAAAAACTAAAACTAAGTATATATTTAATACATCTTCACCTTTTTTCAAATAAGAGACTTGTATAATTACAGGCACCTTTAGGAACAAAGCCTATTTTCAAAAATTTAAAGTTAATATGGAGAAGTTGCCACACCAATTTTTTCATACCTTCTTTGGAAATCAAGTGTGTTCCAGGGTCTAGAGGCTGGTTCATGTTTAGAAACTAGAACCCTGAGGTCAGCCTCGGCTGCCTGAGGACTTGTGGATAGGTCGTGATTCAGCTTTTCTTTATACACAGGTCTTTCCCGGAAGACCTGGGCTGAAATCTCTGGGCAGAAGACTGAGGTAGGGCCTGTGTTCAGGCCTTTGTTTTATGTGGCAGATGGTAGGGATCCTTTAAGTCTGATTTCTATTGGTAACTATTTCTCCAAAAGAGTAAAGAGCACAAGGGAGGCTCTGGGTCCTTACTGATATCTCACCCAGTTACCAATGTCTCATTGATACAGACCCAGTGAAAGAGAGGACAAAGACTGAGGTCACCATGACAGACACAGCAGCCAAAGTGACTGTGCAACTGTGATGGGGCACCTTGCTCTTGAGAGTCTTGCAGGTCTGCTTTACTGCAGGCAGCCAGGGGAGGGGAAGTCCGGACACACTGCTGTGCTTTTTCTTTTTGCCATTGCCTAGTCACCAACTTAAACATACATGCTCTCACACACAGGCTGAGGATTTGGATTCTACTCACACTTCTCATTAGAGTACCCACTGGGACTTAAAAGTTAAATAAGGAAAATAAATAACAGGTAGACAAAAACCAACCAACAAACCAAAAAACCCACAAACATTTGAGGGTAATAAAAGAACCTCAGTAACTTCAATCTTAGCATAACAATTATCTTTCAAATGTGGGGAAAAAAATCCCTCCTAGAGGGAAGACTTAGAAGTCCGACATGAAAATACAATATCTTAAATACAAAACTCTTCAACTGACCATATCCTTATGGTACTAATATGAAACAAATGAAGTTACAGGGAACAAATAAACAAAAACTGGATGTGATTCATTAACACAATGAAACAATTGTTGCACACATTCTAAAGACTATGCACAGATCTCTGAAGAAATTCATTCACAGACTTGTGCCTAATATGGGGTAGGACTTTGGCTAATATGTTTTATTTTAATGTACTTGTGATTCTTAACTTCAGGTGTTTTAGTAAGGAATAGGGAGAAGCAAAATTTACAACCTTGGACTGGATCAGTAAATAGCTAAGACTCTTCTTTTGTATATTTTGTAAGAAGTTTCCAGACTGCTCTTCTGCATGCTCTTTTCTCTGAGTAACTACCATCACTAGACAGTCATCAGTTCTGTTTCTGTTTCCACTGCAAGACCTGCACATCTGAAATAGCTTTCCTTATGTTTTACAGTTTTCCAAGTGTCAGCAATATTACCTTCTTAAAAACCACAAAGAGCACTGCATATCTTCAGCTGGTGGCAGCACTGTGTATGGAAGAGCTGAATAAAAACAACAGCTGGGAAGGCCCCATTCTCATGCAGTAACAACTGCTCACTGACGTCAAACATGTGCTTTCAGTCTTTAGTGTTTGAAGCTATACCGACTAGTCCTTGTGAGGAGGAATGACGCACCGTACCGAAAAACTGACATCCTGTCAGGAGTCTTCTCTAATTGGCTCTTAACTTAAAAGCTAATAAATCTTTTCTGTGAGCTATTCTCAGGGCCCATGCTACAGAGTGCTTTATTAAAAACAATACTCTTTAGCATGATTAATAATAACTAAAGCACCTTGGGTTGGATGTAAGACGAATGTGTGCTGTAAACAAATTCTGCTTTGTAGTAAAATATTTAAAATTAAAATCACTATAAATTACTATAAAGCATATACACATAAACGTAGTCAAAGTCAAAATTCTGATGCTCTGATTGCCATAACCAATGTGGCCAACTTTATCCTAAGATTTAACTGTCTTACAATAGTGACCCAGCACTAGTTTAGGTCTGTAAAAACAATTGTCACAAGTCACACAAAAGCATAGCTACAACACAATCTGCACATCTTCAGTAAGGTTCTGGCTAGCAGGGATAACGTGTAATGCTGCTAGGTATCCAAAGTGCTGTCAGTGATGATAGGATTTAGTGATGGTGTGTGAGGTCTTCTAGGAAGCATCGATGTCAGTTGCAGATGGACCATATAAGAAATTACTTGACAAAATCCAGCCTCATTCTGTGTTTTCACAGCACTCCCAACAGAAGGCATCCAGTCTACTGGCTGTTTCTTGGCTGATTAGACATTCATCCTTTAGTTCCCTGATTGTCTTCCTCAGTGATTTCTGAAAGTGTTTTTCTCGGTCCAAAACATTGCGTAGACTTTCCTTGGTATTCTCTAGCTCGATGATCACGTGATCTAATTTATGCTTAAGTTTCTTTGGACTGTCCATAACACTGTAACTATGTTCCTACAACATAAACAGGTTTTTAAATAAGAAAGATAAGTGGTTAGACAAGCTTAGCACTAAGTTTCAGTTATTTCTTCACTTATGGTATGTAGAGGAGACTGTTAGAGGCTTAAAGAAAACAAGAAGGGGATGGGAAGCAGAAGCAGTAGTAGGGTGCCTAAACCTCTCTTCCTTCTGAGGCTCAGAATATATGAGGAGCATGGAACCAGTGTTGCTGGTGAGAAACACTTCTCATTTGGGGGTTCCTGCCTGCTAAGATAGCACTGCAGATGAAACTGCAATGGCTGCCATGGCACTTGTAAAACCTATACAGCTTTCATTCCTGAAGTATGGTGCTGATAAACAGTTCATACTTATCAGATGGATTTGAGTTATTTTTATTTACTTTTTTTTTTTTTTTTACACAGGGTCTCATGTATCTGAGGCTGGTGTTGAACTTGTCATATAGCTGAGGATTACTTTGAACTTCTGATTCCCCTACCTCCACTTAAGGAATGTATGCATGCCCCGATGCCATTTTTTTGCAGTGCTAGAGATCAAACCTTGGGCTTCAAGAATGTTAGGAAAGGACTCTATGAATTGAGCTACATTCCCAGCTCCAGGATTTAGTGATGGTGTGTGGTATAGTAAATTTTTCCTTCATTTGGATGAATAGTTTACTTTATATGAGGAAAGAAACACTGGAGTGGGTGCTCAGGCTGAGTGCTGGGGACTGGAGAGGATGCCAATCTTGGAATTTAAAAAAGATAATTTAATTCCCATCAATATTTATTTTGGCTATGCTTAAGTATTTGACAATATACTTTTCCTGTTCATTTGAAAACAAGGAAAATAACACTGACACAGAGAGATACTATAAATTAATTTTATAAAGTTACTTAATATTAAAATTACTGGAGAGGACTTTTGTGTATAGCCAAGATGAAGTGAAAGACTGGACTGACACCACATGAACCAATGTGTGTCACAGAGACCTAAACAATATTTGAGGATAATGAGCACTACACAGGAAAGGCAGCTTTGTGACGGATGGGAAATAGAAGTGTGAGGCCTGTGCTTGCTCTAGCTTAGCCTTGGAAGACTTTGTAGTCCCCAGTGCAAGGATGAGAAACCCAGGCAGAGCTTGGCATGTAGGAGTGGGGAGATTAAGCAAAACATCAGGGAAAGAAAGGAGGCCATTTTTTCCCTTCTACTTTTGTGTGTGTGTGTGTGTGTGTGTGTGTGTGTGTGTGTGTGTGTGTGTGTGCGCGCGTGCGCGCGCGCGCGCGCACATGTGGAAGACTGAGGTTTATATCCAGATTCATCATCTACTGGTGGTCTCATTCACTGAGAAGCCTGAGGTTTATATCCAGATTCATCATCTACTGGTGGTCTCATTCACTGAGGTAAGCATTCTCAATCAAATCCAGAGCAAGTCGATGTGGCTAATCTTCTCAGCCAGCTTGCTTTGGGGAGCCTGGTCTGCCTGTGAAGATGGAATTACCACACTTACAATCACTGGGCCATCTCCCTGCCTCAAATGATACACTTCTAAATAACCCATGGGTTAAATTACAAACTGAAACAGAAAGTGAAAATATGAAAGACAATGAAAACACAACTTCCTGTGGGATGTAAAACTTAGGGAGAAACTAATAGCATTGAATGCCTAGACTAGAAAGAGATAAATCTTAACAATGACAGCAGCTTTTCCCTTACTAGAAAAAGGTAAGGACTTTTTACTGAAATAAGTAGAAAAATATTATAATAGATGAGCAGAAATTAGGGAAGTATAAAAAAATGAACAAAAGTTGAGTTCTATGACAAGATGAAGGAAATAGTTAAATCTTCAAGTTGACTAATCAGTAATGTACAAAACAGAGACAAATGTCAGGAGAGGAGAGCATGTGAGTCCATAGAGATACAAAAGGGTCAGCAAGGAGGTATTATCAAATACATTACCCTAATGAATGTTGTTACTGTGATGAAATGGACAAAGTCCTTGGAAGACAGAAGCTATTATTATTTTCTTCCACATGCAAACAACAACAAAAACCCCCTAAAGTCCACAATCTTCACTAGACAAGTCTATCAAATAGTTATAAGAAATTTATCATTCTACAAAATTCTTCTTCCAGAAAACTGGAAAAGTTGTCAGATTTTTTTCACTCTTTGGAAAGGTCAATACTATTCTGATCTTGAATTCAGACAAACGAAACATTACAGAAGAGGAGGGAAGCCCTATAGACTAAATATCCCTCTTGAACATCCAAATAAAGATTAAATGAAAAAAATCGAAAGCTGTATACAAAATACCTAAAACCAATGATGCATTATGGAGTAAGGGTCATCCTGGAGTAAAGGATTAGTTAAGCGCTTGAGAAGTCAGCTGACATAACTTACCACATTAACCTAAAAAAGAAAAATCATGTTAGGAGATGGGACTGCCTGGGTACTGGCTTCCAACGCTTCTTAATCACAATCCTGTAGGTTTAAGCAGTTCAGTAAAGCAAGGAAAAGCAATGGAACACATTTATAGGAGAAAGGAAGAATTAAAACTGTCCTTAACCACAGAGAACATGATGATTTATGCAGAAAATCTGACGCCCTTAAAAAACAAAACAAAAAAACCAAACCAAACCAAACCAAAAAACCCCCAAACCAAACAAAACAAAAACCAAAAAACCCAACCCTGTTATAATTAATATTTGAGTTCAGCATGTTTGTCAGATATAAGATCAACATAAATTACATTTCCGTCTTCTGGAGCAAACAAGATAGTAACATTTAGAGCAGCAAGCAAGCAGAGAAAATATTAAGGGCCAAATCTGACAAAGCAAAACACCTATGTGCTGAATGCTATGGAACAGTGCTAAGAAGTTAAAGGCTAAATAAATGGGAACACTCAAAGTTCCAGTGCTGCAAGACCTCTTACTACCATGAGCTTGCAATTCTCCCTGTGGCATCTACAGAGGCAACAGCAGACTAGTGAAAATTTCAGCCTGGCTTTTGGTAGAATTTTACAAAGTGATTTTAAATTTACGTAAAAATGCAAAGAATTGCTAATAGCCAAAACAACTTTGATAAATAACAAAGTAAACAGACTAATAGTACCTGATTTTAAAATAATTACAAAGCTGTAGAGAAACAGTTTCTACTCAATGCCTGGCATTTATAGGAACAGTTTGTGAATAAGTAAGTGCAAGCCTGAATGCTCTGTTGTGTGTGACTGCCTTTCACTGAAACCTAAAGATATGGCTATTTTTTTTAATTACATATTTCCATGGGAGAAAATATAATACATAAAGGGAAGAATTATTTTATTGGTAGAATCATCCTTGTGAAAGCATTCTTCAAACTAAATATGTAACCAAAAGAGTAACTGCTTCCTTCTATATTGCTCCTCATACATTTCAATTACAATGACCCTGGGAAGGAAGCTTGCTTGGAAACATTATTTATTAAAGACCCACTCCTTGACAAGTCTACATTCTGTTTTTTGCTATGATCCGACATATTTGATCCTAGTGGAGAGACCATATTTACCTTAAAACAATTAACAGCAATTAGCTCAGCAAATAATTCTACTTACAAAAATGAACTGGGGTTGGAATTCTTCAATGCATGAAGCCCCAACAAGCTGGTGACTGTGGTTAGTGACTGGGAGGGTTTTGAGAATGAAGTTTTTCCTGCAATGAAGTTTTTCTCTCTTCTCCTGTTAGGAACAGTTAATAAAAACCATTGAGATACTGTGTCCGTGATTCCTTTGTAACTGTGTGTAGTAAAATACCACATTTCTTTTCATGGAAACTGCTCTAGAAGTTGGTATATTTCCTTCTGTTTACTTTAAAAGAGCATCCCTCAAGCAACTCCAGGGTTTATCTATAACCAAAACTTCCCTAAAAAAAACGAAAAGAGGAATGAAAATCAAAGAGGATACTCCCTACCAGCTGGGAAAAAGATGACAGAAGAGGACCTGACTACATAAGTTACAAAAAATAATTTTGGCTCACAGTTCTTGAAGAAAATGCATTCTCAGATTTATTAAGAGAGACATCAAGGGCAAAGTGGACAACTCACAGCACTATTACTGAGAAAGAAGGGAATTCAACTAGGTTTACTATCCAACCTTCTGTTTTCCTTTTGTAACCTCATCTCTCTCCTCATTTTCACTTATCCTTTTTTTCTGTGTTTTCTCTCTCTCTCTCTCTTTTTACTTTTGTTTCATATCTAAGCTTTAAAGTTTACATCTGTGACTTCACCTGGAACCATACTTCTGTCCAGTTTGCAGTTTGCTCTTGAGTTTTTTTTTTTGTTTGTTTGTTTGTTTGTTTGTTGTTTTGAGACAGGGTTTCTCTGTGTAGTCCTGACTGTCCTAGAACTTGCTTTGTAACCCAGGCTGGCCTTGAACTCACAGAGACCTGCCTGCCTCTGCCTCTCAAGTGCTGGGATTAAAGCACATTCCCCCCTCCCTCTTGAGCTCTTAAGGACTATGCATCTGAACATCAGCTCAATCTTCTCCGATTTTTAAGAAGCCGGTTCTGAGTTAAGACAATTCCTTCTACCAGTCCACTCACCTAAACCCTAGTCATGTACCAATGTTTACGGGTGGCTGCCGGCTACATCATCAGCTAAGCATCACAAAAGCGGAAGCTACAATCTATGAAAACCCACAGAATGCACTTCAGATGAAGACAATACCACAGACGAACCCACGAGGGCTGAAGTCTTCAGAACTGTCCCAGGAAGTGGGTGCTCACAGCAAGCAGGAGCTCGTAAACAAACCTGTAGGTGATATGGGGCCTCAAAGACAGAAGGGATGACTCCAGGTTTCAGTTTAGTATTTGGAGTACTTCTGTCAAAATCTGTCTTCCTGAAGTGCCTGGAGCACAGCACATCTCCCTTTTTAGGCTCCCAAATGCTGGCAGTGTTCACATCTAGTCTTTTCATTGCTAATACCCATTTTCGTTTGATGTTTTCATCTGTGGGGAATCTAAGAAGAAATGAAGAAAATTTAAATACTGTTGATATATATTTGAACTGAAATATTTAGGAGATCATGACTCCTGCTTATGTAACAAATTGATTTAAAAATACATTTTTATTTGCATGTGTGCATATATGTGTCTGGGCATGCGTACAAGCATCTCACAGTATGTACAATATAGATTAGAAGGTAATTTGTGGGAGTTTGTTCTCTCTACCCCATGTGGGTCCTGGTTGTTGAACTTAGGTCATTAGGCTTGGTGACAACTGCCTTTACCCACTAAGACATCCTGCTTACCTCATAACTCAGTTTTAATGTCCATATTTTTCTACCAACCATTCTTCAGATATGTGACCTTTATTTAAAGTTTTATCATATCATATGGACTTGTCAGTGGGCATTTAGCACTTTGTAGTAAGATCTGCAATTAAAGGTTTTTCCCCTAATCTACAGATGTTAAAGAATACCATTGGCCTTTCCCTTTCTGAGGTGACATCCAGAATTTATCCTGAATGAATGAGGCCTCTTGTACTTTCACTTTTGCCATTATCCATAAATTACTTGGGATAGCAGCTAACATACAGCAGGTCTATTGATGATCTATGAAAGCTTGCAGAGTCTAGAATTCTGAAGATATGGGGTCAATAATAATATTTCTAAAATTTCCAAGCAAGTTCATTTTTTTTTTTTGGATAAGGTAGTGTATACATACTAACTTTTTATTTCCATGTCTAGCACAGTAACTAGATCATTTCCTAAGAAAGACAAGTGTTCTTCACACAAAAGCTGTGAAATCCTTAGCACATTTATTAAATCCTATGGTCCCTTCCTATGGGTGTCAGAGGAATGGCCAAAACACTAAAGCAGAATCCTTGAGCTTTATCTGCAATGCAGCTAAATAACTTTGGTCTGAACTTGTAATTTATAGTGAACACTTAAGCCCCACCTGTTTCTAAATAGAAGGGATGTGTATTTTAATGTGTATTTTAATTTTACCTCATTTACACTATAAATACAAGTAAACAATGGTGAGCTTAATAGTTACAATGCAAGTAACATTAGCAAAGGTGAGTCTGACAACTTGTGTGTGTGGGTATTTTATTTTTGGTGATGTTGTTAATCTCATCTTTGATTCCTTGGCACTTAAAACTTGCACATAGCTATTTTAAAAGGACCTGGGAACTAATGCTTGAAACTGCAGACTTAGGTAGACTCGTTCATTTCTGTAAAAGTTCAATGTATTTGGCCTGAGCACAGCAAAATCTTACACATGAAATGTCAGTCCTTTTAACTTGGAGTTTGGCAGACAGCGAGATGCACATCCAATGGCCGAGCAACATTTCACCATGATTTTATCAACTCATAACAAAACTGTAAGAGAATTAAAATGGGTTAGTAACTTTAGGGCTAGCCAAAGGCAATTCCCCAGACCCCAACCTCTGAAGTTCTGCTGCTAAAATTTTCTAAGGTCTCGGTAACTTTTTAAGAGTGGATATTTAGTTACGCACCTTGAGGTCTGAGATTTCAACTTTTTAGGCTTGGTTATTTCTCTTGTGTCCTTACCAGGGATCAGATTTTTCTCTGCCACAGGTCTGGGCACCCTAATAACTTCCAGCTGGAGCGTCCCCCTTTCCCCAGGGACACTCCACACACAATTATCCTTAAAGTGTCCCTCCAAATTGTGATCTCATTGAATGCTGTGTTTTTTTTTTTTTCTCACTACCCATCTGTGAGTTCCACTAGGGCATGTTACGGCGTGCCTACTTTTCCACTTTTTCTCCTCAGGTCTCAGCTGGTGATCAGAAA